AAGAAGCAGGTCTTCGAGGACGATGTACTGCTCTACCGCATGGTGATGCTGTACTGTGTGGCGGAGGAAGCTCGACGAGGCAGGAAGGTGACAACGACGGCCAGATCAAAGGTTGCGTTCTTGCTAGAGCAGCCGGAGGCGCCGTGGTACGTGCCGGAGTGCGGATCGTGGTGGCGAACCAGGAATTACGTAGCCTTCCGAGATCAACACGGGCTTCTGGAGCACGGTTTCAAGCAGGGAGACTACGGGGGGTTGGCGGTGAAGCCGACGCGTATCGTCACTGACTTGGAGGTGGATTTGCCCCCAGGAGGATCCTCATCGGCAACTACCAGAGAGATGGCAGCGGTGGCAGACTCGGCGGCCTTGTCAAGGTGGGCTCCGGGATTCATGAGAGAGGTGGCGAGATCTTTGCAACAGGAGGTCTTCGGACGGCCGGCTCATGTGAAAAAGCTAAGCTGGCTTGAGCACGTCCGCCATGGACATGTGCCATTTCGCCGGGACTGCCGAGTATGTCAGGAGGCGTCGGCAAGGGGGAAGCGGCATGCAAAAATCGCCTATCCCTACGCGGCGGTCTTGAATGCGGACTTGAGTGGCCCATACCGGGCTGGAAAGGACGTTGGGGATGCGACCCAGAAGTACTTCCTCATCGGCTCATTCACTTGGCCTGCGGAGGAGGACCAGACAAAGTTCTTCGACGGCAAGGAGAAAGAGGAAGACGGAGAGGACTTGCCAGTCCTGGAGGAGAAGAAAGCGGAGGGTGAGGATCCAGCGTGCGAAAAAGGCGAGCTGGATGATCCAGAGGGAGATCCGGAGAAAGAGGGAGAGAGGGTAGATGGTGACGGCCAGGAGGAGGATCCGGAGGACCGAGCCAGGAAGGAGTGTGGGGAGCCAAAGCCATTGAGGCTGATTGTCAAGGCGATCTCCCTACCCGACAAGAAGGCAAAGACGGTGCTTCAAGGGCTGCAGGACATCTACATTCAGTTGAAGAGGGAAGGTTACCCGGTCCAGAGAGTGCACACGGACCGGGGAAAGGAGTTCCTGAACCACGACCTGAAGAAATGGTGCTTGGTGAGGGAGATCGAGAAAACTACAACGAGTGCAGACTCGCCGCAGGAAAGCGGTCGTGCGGAAGCTTGCATTGGCAGTCTGAAGAGCCGCATGAGGAGGCTGCTGAAGGGAGCGAAGATGGATGTGAAGTTTTGGCCAATGGCAGCTCGATACGCAGTGGTGGCCGAAGAAAAGAGGCAGCGGAACGAGCTGATGCCAGCGGCATTTGGGGAGGAGGTCTGGGTCCCAAGGAGGTCATGGAAGAGAACTCAGGATCCATTTGGGCCTACCTATGAGAAGGCGCGCTACTTGGCCGTGGTGAAGGAGGTCACGAGCGGGCATGGAATCTTGCGGGAAGATGGCAAGATTGAGGTGGTCTCCCGGATAGTGAGAGGGGTGGTGGAACCAGAAGATCGGCTACTACCGGAGGAGGCCGAACCGCATCATCCGAGGAGACGGATCCGGGGAAAAACCCATGTGGGAGAGGAAAAGGACCGGGAGCTTGGCGACCTCCGCACGCTTCGGGCGGCGATTGAGGAGGAGATGGAAGTCATGGACCAAGACGGTGGAGAAGTTTTGGGAATCACGGCGGTGAAGATCAAGGAGATGAAGTTGGCGGAGGAGGCCCTGGTAGAAGAAGCGATGGGCGAAGAGGAGAAACAGGTCCTTCAAACCCGAATCGCAAGTCACGCGGAGGTGATCAAGAACAAAGAGGAGTGGCTGCCAGCGATCCAGGCCGAGGTGGACTCGCTCGTGGATGGGAAGCAGGCAGTGAGGAGAGTCACGAACGAGGAGGCGCGAGCACTTCTAGGGAGCCCGGACTACAAGGTGGACATCATGCCTGGCAAGATGGTTCCGACGGTGAAGGCGCCCAACGGTAAGAAGAAGTGCAGGATCGTCATCTGCGGGAACTACGCGGAGGGAGGAGGTAAGGACTCCGACGAGTCGTTGTACGCTGGAGGATCCGACACGATCTCCATCAGGACGATCACGAAATACGCGGCGGAGCAAGATTGGGAGGCAATGGTCCTGGACATCAAGACCGCGTTCCTCAACGCCCCGCTTCAGGAGAAAGAGACGGAGGGTGAGCCGAAGAAGATATTGCTGATGAAACCTCCGTCCATCCTCATCTCCCTGGGCTTGTGCAAGAAAGACGAGTACTGGGCGGTGGATAAGGCTCTGTATGGGCTTCGCCAGTCGCCGAGGAGGTGGTCTGTCTTTCGGGACCAGAACATGCGAGAAATGAGGTGGGAAGAAGGAGGTGGTTGCTACTGGTTGGCCCAGACGGTCTCGGACCCGAACGTCTGGAAGATCATGAAGGGGCGGGACTGGGAGGATGAGCACGGCGAGCTCGTGGGCCTGATGGCAATCTACGTGGACGACATCTTGGCTTACTCGGGAGGAGGAGTCTTGCGAGAACTGTGCAAGGTGATCCAGAGGAAGTGGGAGACGAGTGTTCCGGAGTTTGTGAAGAAGGGTGAGAAGGTGAGGTTCTGCGGTATGGATATAAGCCGAACGGAACGTGGGTATCACCTCGGGCAGTCGTCTTACACGAAGGAGCTCCTCAGTCGGTATAAGGACGGTGGCTATGGGTCGGTGATCCCCATCGCCAAGGACATGACGGAGATGCCTGAGGAGCCGAACATCTTGCCGCACGAGGTACAGGCAGCACAGAAGGCCGTGGGGGAAGTGTTGTGGCTGACTACAAAGACAAGGCCCGACCTCATGTTTGCGACGAGCAGGATGTCATCGGCGGTGACGAGAGCGCCCAGGTGGGCATTGGAGATTGCAGCCCAGGTCAGGAAGTATCTCCTGAAGACCACGGACATGGGTTTGTGGTTTGATCGGGAAATGAATGCGGGGGCTACAGGAATTGCCGAGAGGAAGATGGAGGTCTACACGGACGCATCATTTGCTCCAGGAGGTGGACTAAGCCATGGATCGGTGGTGGTGCTGTGGAACGGCGCCCCGCTGGCGTGGAAGAGCTCGAGGCAAAGCAGCCCTACGTTGTCAACCGGAGAGGCAGAGCTGATGGAGTGCCTGGAGGGCATTGTCATGGGCGAGAGCGTGGAGGCCCTGATCTCAGAGATTGAAGAGGCGATGGGCTACACGTACAAGAGGCAGTTGTTATCCGACAGCTCGGCAGCCATCGCCATTACATCAGAGGCTGGTGGGAGCTGGAGAACGAGGCATCTGCGGGTCAGAGCGTTCAACTTGAGGTGGAGGCTCATGGATGAGAGCTGGTCGATCCACCACGTGATGGGGGAAACCATGCTCGCGGATCTCGGGACCAAGGCCCTCACGGGTAGGCGCATAGATGATTTGCGTCGACTATGGAGGCTGGAGCCGTTGGAGGAAGTTACGGAGGAGATCGGTGCGAGGCAGGAGAACGTCAAAGAGGCGAATGGTCATGGAGACTTGGAGAGCATCACGGGCATGGTTAAGGTGATGACCCTCGCGAGCATGATTACAAAGGTCGGCGGTGAAGGAGAAATTGGAGGGCGAAGGAGACGAAGAGCCGGAGGACACCCTGAAAGTCCTGATGACGGTGGTGAGTATCATGTCCATCATCCTGTACAAGCTGGTGGAACTGGTCTGTCAGAAGGCGATCATGCCCCGGATCAGAGCCATGAGATCAGGCGGGGAGCCGGCGACGCGTGAAGGCGAGGAGGAGGAGGAGATTGAGATTGAGGAGACATCATCGACAATTCGGAGAACGGTTGGCAGGAGTGGAGATGGGACGTCGGGGAGTACGTCTTCTACCGGAGGTGGGCCTACGCCCAGGAGTATGTCATGGAGCGAGGGGGGACCTACGCCACAAAGTGCGTCTTCTACCGGAGGTGGAGGGAGCAGGCAATTGGGAGCCACGCCCAAGCCGAAATCCAAGCCGATGCCGAAGCGCAAGGGAGACGGTAAGGGGCGAGAGGCGAGTTGGAGGCCGAGGCAGCATTTGGAGCCGGAGCCGGAGGACGAGGAGTTGCTTCCGGGAGAAGGAGATCTGCCTACGGGGCCGTTGTTGTATAGGACCAACCATGGAGAAAGGTACCACACCTTCATGGATTGCTATGGACTGCAGAACGCCACGCGGATTCACGAGATGCTTCCGTGCCCAAGGTGCTGCACCCCGGACTTTAGGAGGCTGGTGACCAGCCTTCCGGGACCCATCTTCTTCAGGGGGCTGGGCTACTATCACTCGCTGATGTGCTGCGCGGGGGGCGAGCCGGTGCGCATCACCCTCTGCGGCTACTGCAGGACGGCTTGAACTGAGGGGGCTTGAAGCCGGTTTTTGGACATGCAGCACCGCATTGCAAAGCTGCATGGGAGGAGTGCCAAGAGTTGCATTCATATACAGATGAGAGTCAAATGAAACGCTTCGACGAACTGAAGCCCCTTTGAAGCTCAAAAAGCCTGACCTGCACCTTAGCAATTTTGATTCATCCGTGTTGAAGCCCAGAAAGCCACAAGCTGTTGGCATTTTTGTGCTTGCCCGTCAGTGCTCAACTGTTTGGAGCCTCTGCTGGCGTAATTGATTCTTTGAACCCGCCGTGCCATGCTTGCACCGCAGCGCTCGCATTTCTTTCTATCAGCGCGCCGTCGTGCTTCTGAGCAACTCGGATAGAAAGGTGCGTCCTTTTGGCGGCTGCTGGATTAAATTAAAGCATGTCAGTATAGGAGCACCGCACATAGCTGGATATCTTAGCTTTTAAAATCCTAGTGATTAGCTCTCCAATTTTCTTCATTTTGATCAATTTCAGTTGCAACTGGGGCTCGGGACGCTTTTTGCGGAAACGGATGTTTATTTTGCTGTTTTTGGTAGGGAGACTGAAGCGTGCCCGGTTGTTCAATTTTGAAAAAAATAGGTTGAGGCCCTCATGCGCATCCACAGTTGCAGGTACTGAAGTCATGAGATTGATAGGTGCTACACCGTGCGAACATTTTGGGTCAAGCTTGGAAAGGAGGACTTCACATTTTGCTGACATCTCTGAATCTACTTTTTCCTCCCATGGCGGCAGTCGCCGGGCTTCGCACGCTGGACTCTGTGCCGGGAGTGGGCAAGTTGTTCGTCATCGCTGCACGAAACCGATTGGTTCCTGCTCTCATGCAAATGGGCGATGAGAACCCCCGGATGTTCAAGATGTTCATGGGTCCCAAGCCGCTGCTGGTGGTGACGCACCCGGAACTGGCGCGCTCGGTGCTCACCCGGCCCCAGGACTTCATCAAGTCTCCGCCGCTGGAGGCCCAGAAGAGTGGCTTCAGCTCGCGGCTGAACTTCACCTCGGATGGCACGTATGCCTCGGTGGTCATGACCAACGGTGCCGAGTGGCAGGCGATGCGAAAGCCGATCGACCCCGCCTTTGAGAAGGCGGAGCTGAGGAAATTCGTGCCCAAGTTCAACGACGCTGCCGGCAAGCTGCTGGAAAGCTGGAAGGGCAGCGACCAAATTGATGCCAAGAGAGATATGTCGCGCTTCGCCTTGGACGTGCTTGGCTCGGCGGTGCTAGGGCGAGACTTTGGCGCCATTGATGGCACCTTCGACGACACCTACGCGCAGTACCAGATTGTTATGCAAGAGCTTATGAATCCCCTCTACTTCACCTTCCCTGTGTTGGAGCGACTGCCGCTCCCACGCAACATCGCCTACAAGAAAGCCATCGACCACATGTACTCTGTCCTTGACAGCGCGGTGCAAGCTCGGCGCCAACAGCGAGTAGAGCAGCATGCAGCCGGCACGTTGACTGATGAGCCGAACGATATGCTGGATATGCTGCTGGGTCCTGGTGTGGATGCCAAAACAGTTCTGCCAGACGGCTACACGATCCCGATGCTGTGGCTCTTCTTCCTGGCGGGCCACGATACCACCGCGGTGGCTCTGGCCTGGACCATGCACTTCCTGGCAGCAAACCCAGAGGTCCAGGCCAAGGCCAGGGCCGAGGCGTTTGCCACCTTGAAGGGCAAGACGGATCCTGACGCGGATGACTTGGAGAAGGTCCCTTACATCAACGCCGTCGTCAACGAAAGTCTCCGCTTGCGTCCTCCGATTTATAACCTGCTCACCCGGGACGCCGCGCACGACACGGAGCTGGACGGAGTAGCCCTGCCTAAGGGCACCGGCGTGTCGCTGCACATCGGGGCAATCAACACTCACCCTGAGGTCTGGGAGCGGCCGAAGGAGTTTGATCCTGAGCGCTTCATGCAAGAGAAGCAGCCGAGAGTCTTCAACAATCTGCCCTTCTCAGCCGGACCCCGTCGCTGCTTGGGCGACAAGTTCTCGCTGTTGGAGCAGAGGGCCTTGCTGCTGAAGATGCTCACGCAGTACGAGCTGCTGCCCGACGGCGATATGGCCAAGCAAGAGCGCACCTTCAGCAATGCCTCCATAGCCATCATGTTTCTGCAGCCTGAGGAGCTGAAGATCAGAGTTCGTCCGCTGTGAGAAAGCGCGCCCAGGGCTCGCCCATGGCGAACACTGGCCGCGTCAGTTGATCTGGATCTGGATGAACCAGCTTTGTAGAAAACTTTGTAGCCAGAAAGCTAACACCTATTTGGGGACTTATCAAGTTCCATTTGGAACTGCTACATACTCTGAAGGAATTCGTACTTAGATTCTACATCGAACTACACATTCAAAACAGATTTTCATTGAAACTAGCTTCATCAAAATCCTATTTGGAAAGACAATCCTACTTGAACTGTAAATCAACATAGACATTCAAATTCAATCATGACATTCTTGAGTTCTATTAAACGTCTAATTATGTGTATATATATATATATTTAAACATGAATTCACCTTTGAATTGTAGTTCACATAGTACATCATGTTTGAATGATTCCATTGTTGAACTCTGGTTAGAAAGTACCGTGGGACTCTTTCCTTTCAACTATACGTCTATTCTACTAGTTACTATTGATTTATGTTTGAATGGACTTTGCCTTTGAATTCTCATTCAGAATAGAACGAGCCTTATAAAGGAGCCTTGAAGGGTGCAGGGTAAGGAGCTTTAGCAGGAACTGTAAAAGGATCCTTGTAAGCAGCTTTGCAAGGAGAGCAAGGCGGTTTATAAGGAGCTTTAAAGGGAGCCTTATGAGGCCCTTTTTTTGCAGCTTTTCAAGGAGCCAAGCATTTTACAAGGAGTTGTACAAGGAGCCCTTAAAACGAGCATAGGGAGTTTTCGGAGAGCTTAATAAGGAGCTCTGCTTAAGAAGTGAGGTTTAAAGGGAGCTTCGCAAGCAGCTTTACAAGGAATTGCGAGCCTTTTCTGGAGCCTTCCCATTAAGGCATTTTCACTAAGGAGCCTTGAAAAGACCTTATAGCAGCTTGGGCCAAGACTAGAAAGCCAATGTGTTGAATTCTAACTTAGCATCGAACATCTAGTTCACTGGTCACACCCCTTGGCTCCAAGAGTTTAATCATGGCTGTACCAAACCTACCAAAACAGGGATAAGCAGAAAAGACAAGAACACAGGAGGGAACACACTGACTAACCAACAAAAGCTCGGAAAACCAACACCAAAAACTCTGAGGAGCAGTTTCAGGTTGCCAACAGTTTTTGTTGTTTTTTTGGGGCTTTTTTGGTTTTGGAGAAAACCAACAACAAAAAAAACACAAAACTCTCAGGTCAAAAAATGGTTTTGCAAAAAGTTGTGTTTGTTTCCTCGAGTCTTTGTTTACGTTTTTTTTGTTGAATAAAGACCAACACCACTCGATGGATTCTTTTTTTTTGGGGGGGTTTAGTCATTTTGCTTGTGTGAACAAGCAAGACACCAGAAACCTCCGCAGCAGCATGTTCTCCAGCTTAAGCGGCGTAGTCGAGTAGGAGTCTTTTTTGCCGCGGGAGAAGTCTGGGTGTCCAAAAACTGGGGGCCCTTTTTGGTTGATTGGGGAAGGGGAAACAAAACGGAAAGCAACTGAAATTGTAGGGGTCCCAGTTTTCGGACACACCTCAATGTCCCAGGCGGACATGTTCTCCCCGTCGGCTTGACGGAGGTACTTTGTCCGCAGGCGAAAGGCGCTTGCTCGCCAAACCAGGGTCAGTCAAATTCTGCAAAGGAGATTCCTCAATTGCTTGTTGCTCGAAAAATAAATGGCCGCTTTTGGGGTTCCATGCTTATCAGTACGGGGACGGTTCTGGAGCCCTTCCCATGCCTGGCAAACGCGCACCTCAAGACCCCAAGTCACTTCATGAAGCCTTGTTCTGATCATGGGAACGGGGCAAGTGAGTAGAAGAAAGCCTTGAGCACGGGCGGCAGCTCTTTGAATCGTTTAAATAGCGCGGGCGGCAGCTCTTCAAATGTCTCCGACATTGAGCTTCTCACAGCTTGATTCCGAGCAAAAGAAAGCGCGACACATGTGCGAATATGTGGCGAAGCAGACGAATTTTGAGTCTGAGGCATCCAATGTTCGCGATGGGTCTTGTGAAGCAAGCAATATGTTGCGCGCTTCTTGGCATGGCATCGCGTCCTCACATTGGAACTACTGAGGCTTTGCAGGGTCTTCAAGCAAAACAGTCGAGCCTGATGCAACCCCTGAGCAATTTGGGTGATGCATTGTTTTACGATCTGCCTAGCTTCTTTTGTTGCCATCCCCTTTTCATGAGTACAGGAGACTCAACGAAATTCAGGTCTATTAAACTTTTATAACATTTAAATCTTTATTATTTTTATTATATATTAATTTATATATCACCTGTGCATGGTGTTCTAACATTAATATCGTATTTATTTAATGAATTTATTACTTTAATTAATCTCACATATTAGTTTTTTTCTATTATACTTTTAGAATAGATCTTTCCTTCACAGTCTGGACTAGGATCCCATACACTGCAAATTCTCTGCGCTGCGGCCGTTCCGGGACGGACTGCAAAAGGCCGGGCATGCAATGCAGACGAAGGCATTTCGAGTGCCTATGCCAAGATGGAAGCCGACAGGCCGAATTACGAACCTGCGAAATACCTCTACAGGAGTGGAGCTTGAGGTGGTTGTGGGTTTTTTAACAGGTCAACGGTATTGTTGGGTGCACAAATAGAACACCGCTGCGTCACAATGCTATGCGCATGAAGACAAACTTAATTGAACGCAGCTTGCTGCAAGGCAGGATTCAGCACTTCGAAATTCAGTTGAGCAACTGCCCATTCAACGTTTTGATATCATTAGAAGCTGTCAGAATGTGCAAGGGTGCCAAACGCATCGCATCGCATTCGCGATTGAACTGCGATTAGGGACCTTTCAGCCCCATAGCCCTTTAAAGTTACACACATCGTTTTTGGCCGGAGACAATGCCACTGAGAAACAGCAGCATAAAGTTTAGCCCTTCATGTTGTGAGCCTCAGCCTGAATCCTTGCCATGTGGTTATGGACAAGCAGGTTGCATGCGCGCACACAGGGACTTGCACCTTTTCCTTCCTTTTTGCAAGTCCTGGAACGAACAATTTTGTGCTACACCGAAAAACCAAAGCGGCAGCACTTGGGCTGAAGCATGTCAGAAGCAATCGCAGGATGGCAGACACAAAGCCTGTCGGGCGCTCGCTCGCTCGTGAGTTCCGCTCCCGAGTTTGGGGGTTTGCTCTAGGTCGAGCCTCCATCCAAGAAGGCAAACACCGGAGCTCCGGCTCCTGTGCGATGTCTCTTGGTGAGATACGAATCCCTGGCTCGTGTCCGGAGATGCATGTGATAAAAAGTTGCTTGCTAACATCTTGAGCCCAGATTAAAATTTACGCAAAGATGAAATGGGACGGACTCGTGAAGCTGGTTTTTGCCCGTCATGCTCCCAAGCAGATGTTTGGGAGATGCCAGGAGTATGTCGAGGGTATCCTGGAGAAGCGTGTTCCCCACCGAGCAGGCCACAAACCTGGCCGTTTTTCGTCAGGATTTTGGATCTTGCCTCCAAGGTCACTTAGCGCATTGGCAGCAGCTGGCGGACGCGAAGCAGGCCGCGTTTCGGATTTTGTGACGACGGCGCCAACCGACCGCCAAGCGCCAACCGCCGAGTTGCTGCTGGGCGGCGCCCTGGACCCGCCGGAGGCTGCAGTGCTGGTGCTCCGAGGGCCGCTTGGTGTGAAAGGAGAGAAAGAAAGAGAAAAAGAAGGACGAAATAGATATAAATAGATATAAATAGATATAAATCAATAGATCAACAAAGAAAGAAATATGAAAGAAAGAAAGAAAGAAAGGAAAGAAGAAGGAAAGGGAGAGAGGACGACACGAGACACGCGACACGAGACACGAGACACGAGAGCGGAAGCCGAGAGATAGGATGGAGCGGGAGAAGGTGGAGAGCCACATCCAACAGGATCCCTACGTGGTGAACGGCCTGGTTCCAGTCCCCAGTTAGCGTTGAGGGCTTTGGATTGCTTGATCAGCACATCAAGCAGTTGTCAGCTTGTGCTCGTTTACCCTGCCACAGGTGCCTTCCTATGAAGTCAAGGATTGGAACGTCGTCGTCGGATCTGCGCTGTGCGCAGAATAGTGACACTGCCTCAAGGAATCAACAGAAGTTGCTTGCCATTGCTAGAGCCTCACGAGAATTCGCACAGTCTTGGGCCACATGCAGCAAGATTTCTGCAGAATTTGGCCCAAGAGCCCTTGAATTTTGGGTCCACCCGCAGGAAGCTCCAGGCCGATGGGTGGGTCATTGCAGTTGGGTGCTGCGGTTTCCCCACTCCACCCGCAGGCATGGCTCTCGCCGACCTGAAGATTGGGCATCCAGCTCCCAGGCTCTCGAGGCCGTGCCGAGCGAAGTCGAGAACGAGATGAGTCTGATGAGTCTCGCCAGGCCGCGTACTGCGGAGCTGCATGAGAGGAATTCCTGGCGGCTCGGAGATGGAGTTGGCCAAATCGGGGGAGGGGCCATGTAACCCAGGTTGACAAGATCCAATTCCGACCACACGCGGGCAGTGAACACAATGCGCCTGGATGGGCCACACCCGGCCAGAAACTCACTTGCCTGGTTCGGACGCGCCAAGCCTCCTCAAGCATGAATGCATTGCTCAAGTTTCTCCTTGTTTGCCAGTTGCGGATGGCACGCATGGCCTCTACACACTTCAACGAGGCCCATCATCCCTGTTCAGTATGCATGTTTTTCGGGTTTGCTGGCAGGGGCGAAAGACAGAGTTGACGCCAGACCAACGCAGGGGCCTTGCTGAGCATTTGGCTGCCATGTTTTGTGGTTTCTTTCCTTTCTTTCCCCCCTGCTCAGGTTGGTTCAAGACCACGGCCACCTCCTTTGCCAAGTACGGAGTCTACCCAGGGCAAGGGCTGCAGGCGTGAGCACATGTGAGCACTGGGCTGAGATAGAGCCAGCCAGGGGATGTATATGCGCGACCCCCACAGCGGCGTGTGGTACAAGGACGCGAGAGTCTTCGGAGAGTTTCGGGGGAGCTTTTCGGAGTCTCGTGTGCGACTTTCGAGGACACGCCTGAGCGCCTTTGGCACAAGGAGAAGGAGATCCCAAGGCCCAGCTCTGCTCACGCCTCGGTTGCCGCAGCCGCAACTGTCGACCGGACGAAAAGGCCGCAACTCACGTCGTTCCCCTTTGCAGAAAGGCTGTAGATCTATATTTGCCGCCAGGCCAACGGCGAGTCATTCCCAATATGCCTCTCAGGTTGCGAAGACCAGCAAGGATTGCGTGCCCTTGTTTGCCCTGCACGTGCACCTCCACGACAAGCCCTAGGTGCGACAGACACGGGGCTTCAAGCTTAAAACACTGCCTCAATCTTTTGTCCAAACGGAGTTCATTGGTTTCTTTCACACTTCCGACTTTTTGGATTGAGCACAACAACGTCTTGCAAGGTGGAAGGAGCCTCCCTTTGCGGACGGCTTTGTTCGGCTTGTCTCACTGCGCAGGGGTGCCGCTTGAAGCGGCCACCCCAATTGAGCTTCCATCAAAGCGGATCAATGAATTGCCCAATTTGGGAATAGGCACCACCTGCCTCAATCAGGTGCCTGCTTTTTCATCTGCCTACACTTCGAACGGAGTCAAAGCAGACGCTTCCTCAAAGCAGGACCTGCTAAACAAGGGCTAAGAGGCGAACGCAGTGCCCCTTTTGGGCGCGGCCATTATTGTCGGCCGCATGCCCCGGACCTGCCTTGGAATGAGGCCGATTCCGATGGGGATGCGGCCGAGACTTATGTTACATTCCCACGGAATGCTGGCGCCAGAAGCGCCGAAGGCGCTTTCCGCGCCAGGCATGCAGTATGGAAAGCAGAGGAAAGCTGCGAGCAAAAGAGAAGCATGCAGGAACTGGCGTGGGCTAGATACTGTTTGGGACTCAGAACAGTCCGACAGTGGAGATGTCAGCTGCATAAGCCGATGTGGGCCCTAATCTGAAACGGCGGAACAAGCAACCAAAAGGAGGGCGTTGAATGGTTGAGGACAGGTGGCAGCATGTGGCCAGCCTGCTACACCGTGGCTGTTTGGGCTCTTGCAAGGTACGATCTTCCCGTAGTTTTATCCGAGACTGGAAACTCACGCCTCCTGGGCATTTACCATTTAGGCTGGCAAGCAACTTGGTGCCTTCTTGGTCAGTCCTGGGGTCAGGCTGTCAACATGCGTGTCGCGATGCTTCTGTGCCTGTCGCTTGTGGGGACCTCAGTCGATGTGAAGATTTTGCAACGCTGGAGCTCCGGCAGGTCGGAAGTGTTCCAGACTACAGCCAGCTCCCTAAATCCCTGAGCAACGGGAAGTGAGCCCTACGGAATTTCCACGAGGCTTTAGTGATGCAGATGAAGTTCTACAGGCTGTGGTCTCAAAGCTCAAAGAAGCTCCAGCAGATGCCCAGGAGATGCAACGTGCACAGCAACTGGGCATGGCCTACTTGGATCAAAAGCCGGGACCCCCATTGCTTTTTCCGTAGGCTGTTCCCTGCAAAGGCACATGCGCTTGCAAGAGCACTGAACCTGCTTTCCCAAGCACCAAGCACCAAGCCGCTTTGTAGTGCGGGTGGCACGATCCGAATGCGATTTTGCCAGTTGCGCTAGGCAGAAAGAGGCCTCCATGGCTACAAGGGCCACCAGCCTGCTGCAGGCATGGGTCAAGTCACGTCAAATGCCATGCGGCGCGGCGGCGCGGCGCGGCTAGGTTCAAACCTCGAGGACCAACGATGAACGACCCGAGGCCGGAGCTCGGATCGTTCGGATCGTTCCACATGGATTTCGCTTACACGCCAGGCCAAGTTCAACCCCTTCAAGCCTGCCACAACCTCAGCGTCGCCTTGTCCTTTTCTGTGCTTGTGCTGACTGCTGGCGATGCGCCCAAGCCGCCCAAGGATCCTGCTCTAGCGCGCAGCTCCAACCCAATGCTGGTGGAGGACGAGGAGGACTAGGAGGATTAGGAGGACTAATCAGCCCGAGAGATGCGATTTGTGCTGCCTCCTCCATGAGATGAGCTTGGCAGCGCTGACAATTCAAGGCGTTTAGTGCCGATGTACCTGCATGGTAAGACTCGTCGTGGCAGCAGCCAGGCATGGCACCCTAGACATATCGCAGACTGGCACTACAGACTTCCGCGTTGCATAGTTATATATCACCGACATCTTAAAACGCGGCCGTCTGCGATGAATTCAATGAGTTCCATACTTATGGCTCGGCTGTCAGGGCAAGACCAGACAGAAGGGCAATTATGCCACCAGAATCTCGAGATGAGCGCTGACAAAATGCTGATGGAGCTTCGGCAAAAGGCGAGCTTTGTCCTTGACTGTCATGCAAGATACAAGTTGCGTTAAATTAAACATCAAAAATGCGATCGAGCTTGAGCTTGAGTTTTACTTTACGCACAGCAAGCGAGCAGGGAATACAAGACAGGCACCACTTGTGTGTAAGCGACAGCCCTTGCTGCTACTGGTTAAGTGGATAAGCTCTGCCAGCCAAATACCAAGCCGTCGATATCAGTCTTGCTTTGAAAGTCGCACGCCTAGAGCCAAATGCACTAAGAGCTGATGTGGCGCCATGGGCGGTTTCGCGCTGTGATCAGGGTGCAGGACCACCTGGGGTAAAATACAACTTACGGCTGGGATGAAATCAAGCGCTTCAGCGCTTCGTTGCCCCAGCTTTGAAGACTCGTTGCCTTTGGGGCTGAAAGGTGTCTCGGACCTTAGCTCCTTGGCCGAAGCACTCGCCGCAGGCGGGACGAGCGGGGGAGGGTGTGAGCTGTCTCTCTCGTCGACTCGGAGCAGTGCTCACGAAATATACGTTGCTCCGCACCAGGTGGCACCGCAAGCCCGGAGGCGCTTGGGGCGATTGCTTGCCGCGATGGCTTTTTGCATGTGATGCTATGGCGTGGCCAGGGCTGTACCTTACGTTCGCGGCTGGCTCCTCATGCCTTCGCAGGGTATGCTCAACAAGATCTTTGTTTCATGATCTCGATTTTCGGTGTGCTCCCATTGTTTTGTTCCATGAAGCAAGGGCGGCACTCTAGGCTTCCTTTCAAGGCTAGCATGTGGTCAGGGCACGGCGCTCTGCTACCTTGCAGGGCATGCCGTGTCTGGGTTGACTGGAGAGGAAGGTTTGGTAGCAAACGGTGACACGATTGCACATGCCAATGCGTCCAGAAGTCACACTCGGATCTTTTGCAAGAAAGCACCACAGCCTTGCCACGGTCCAACGAGGCAGCAGGCATTTCTGCGGCGAGAGCAAAGGGAAGCGGCCGCTGAGACCGAAGGCCACACCCGGGTTCGGGGTACGATCTGACGCACGCAGACGCTTCTTTCCAATATTTCCTTTTGGAATCTTTGGGGGAGACAGAGGGAGTGCGAAGGAGCCAGAGGGAAGGGCGATTTCTAGCACTTGGAAGTGGCGTTACTCCTGCAGGAGGAGCTTCTGAGGGACTCAACTCACCACGACGTGCCGGTGAGGCGCAAGGTGCGCGCAGTCTGAGTCACTGAGGCGTCAAGTCATGTTTGTGATGTCTGTGATGTCTGTGATGTCTGTGATGTCTGTGATGTCTGCGTGTCGTTGCCAGGCGGTGAAGGACCTTGGGAAATACCGGGATGACAACGCGGCCATCGCGGCGTTGGCTAAGGCGCCGATCATGTTCGGCCAAATCGGGTGGAGTCTGGGGTCCGGGAGTGAGGCCTTGGGCGACGAAGATGTAGCTGTCAGCTGCCTGGGACGAAAGGTTTCGCAAGTGGGCGACACGAGAACCGAGGTCCAGCTAGCTGCGCAAGGCGCCATGTCCAAGGTTGCCGACATCGGCGACGAACGCACTGCAGCAGGCCAAGGGTCAGCCAAGGGCAAGCCCTACGCGCGCTGAGCACTTTGATCCACAAGAGAGTGAGGTCAAGGCCACGCTGGAGCGTGTGTCCAGCACCTGTGTGAAGCTCCCAGCTGGAGAGTCCGGATGCAATGCCGGGTGCATGAAATTTGCGTCCCAGGAATGGACCAGGATAGCAGCTCTCAGCACCCTGGCCGACATCACTGGCAAGCACGGCCACGCCCAGCCCCTTATGTTAACCTGAAGAGTCTCAAGGAAGAGTGCTGAGGCTACCAGGGGCACGTCGCTGGACCTTGAGGCCTTGAACATTTTCGAGTAGAAATCACTGGTCCCGAAGCAACTGTCCCATTTGACTGTTCGCCAGATCCGCAGGTGGACGCGGCTGTCAGAAAGTGCCTCAAGGATGAGGACTGGGGCGTCACGTGCTCAGCATCGCCAGCGCAATGGAGACATCTGGAAGCGACCGCAGCCGATTTGTGGCGTAAAGTTGCGAGCGGGAAAGGTGCGCAGGGCTGCGATGGACACCATGGCAGCCAGAGCTGCTCCAGCACCTGGGCAGCGAATTGAGCAGAAGGGACAACCGTTACAACAATATATTGTGTGCTTGTTTTGAATGCAATTCTTTCTTTCAATTTGTTTGCGCTTTCGGCCGGGAGCGACATTGGCCTTCTTCAGTCCTTGGATCGTTGCGCATCTCGGTGCCAGAACTGCGCGGAGACCGTCGAAGCCGCCAAGCAGCTGCTCGAGGAGGGCGTCTCGTGAAAGCCGCGAAAGCGTCGCCGTGCTGCTGTCACTCTTTCGCTAGGATCAGATGGGAACTGTGAGGGAGTCAGCCATCAAGGCCAGGGGCCAGAAACGGCCAGGGAGGAGAGTCGGGGCCGATTCCTCGCCCATCTGTTTTCCGCATGGTTGCAGGCGATTGCAGCACTCGTGCCCAAGGGTAGCCGCGAAGCGATAGACTGGATCTCTCCCAGGCACGGGGTCTCACCTGTCTGACTCCGATTGGCAGTGCTTCCTTGAAGAACCTTCGCTTCAAGGCTTGATGACTGGCACGAGTCTGTTCGCAGGGCATCCGTGGTGGCCGCGCCGAACCGAGACCTGCATATGACACACTCTGAAACATCATCATCTTGAGCTTTTGCAGCGTAATCCAGGTTGCAAAAATTGCAGTCGACTTCTCAGACTCCGATTGCATCTGTGGCTTGGGGGTTCACTCGGGAACTTGCTGAAGGAACCCTGCGTTGTGAGGACAAGGGCGACCAGCATGCCATTGAGCTGGAAAAGAGCGCCTGTGACGACAGGCTCGACCATGCCCGCCTTTTCAGCCTTTTCATCAGTTTTTCCTGAATTCCCTCCCAGAGAGGCATTTGTAGCTTTCGCTCCAGTTTTGCCCAATCCCGCCAATCGTGGAGGTCCTGGATCGTGCGCAAGGCTCGCTGGAACGGAAGGCTCTCTTCCCTCAGCCCCTCAGCCACTCAGCCCTTCGGCCAGGCGGCCACCGACTCGCTGGCCGTCACGGCCTCGCTCAACGACCTGGCGTCGCTGCGGAAGTTGGCCAGGATGCTGGAGGCTTCCGTCTCATCCGGTTCCATCCGGTTCCATCCGGTTCCATCCGGTTCCATCCGGTTCCATCCATCCGGTTCCATCCGCTTCCGTCTCATCCGGTTCCATCCGGTTCCATCCGGTTCCATCCGGTTCCATCCGGTTCCATCCGGTTCCATCCGGTTCCATCCGGTTCCATCCGGTTCCATCCGGTTCCATCCGGTTCCATCCGGTTCCATCCGGTTCCATCCGGTTCCATCCGGTTCCATCCGGTTCCATCCGGTTCCATCCGGTTCCATCCGGTTCCATCCGGTTCCATCCGGTTCCATCCGGTTCCATCCGGTTCCATCCGGTTCCATCCGGTTCCATCCGGTTCCATCCGGTTCCATCCATCCGGTTCCATCCGGTTCCATCCGGTTCCATCCGGTTCCATCCGGTTCCATCCGGTTCCATCCGGTTCCATCCGGTTCCATCCGGTTCCATCCGGTTCCTTCCGGTTCCATCCGGTTCCATCCGGTTCCATCCGGTTCCATCCGGTTCCATCCGGTTCCATCCGGTTCCATCCGGTTCCATCCGGTTCCATCCGGTTCCATCCGGTTCCATCCGGTTCCATCCGGTTCCATCCGGTTCCATCCGGTTCCATCCGGTTCCATCCGGTTCCATCCGGGTTCCATCCGGTTCCATCCGGTTCCATCCGGTTCCATCCGGTTCCATCCAGTTCCATCCGGTTCCATCCGGTTCCATCCGGTTCCATCCGGTTCCATCCGGTTCCATCCGGTTCCATCCGGTTCCATCCGGTTCCATCCGGTTCCATCCGGTTCCATCCGGTTCCATCCGGTTCCATCCATCCGGTTCCATCCGCTTCTGTCTCATCCGGTTCCATCCGGTTCCATCCGGTTCCATCCGGTTCCATCCGGTTCCATCCGGTTCCATCCATCCGGCTCCATCCGCTTCCGTCTCATCCGGTTCCATCCGGTTCCATCCGGTTCCATCCGGTTCCATCCGGTTCCATC